TGTTCTCCCAGCATTTCCCTTGGCTCTTCTGATTCTTAAATCTTCTGGTCTGTGGCATCACTGTGAGTCCTAGACAGCACTCGCCCCACGTTTGTGGGAGAGCTCTACAGAACAACGGTGGTGCAGAACGATTGGGGTTGGGTTTTTTTCTGAGCTTCACAATCCAGGTCTCTCAGTGTGGGGCACAGCAGGAAGCTTTGGATTATTGACAAGAAAATGAATCATAAATTCTTCAGAAAATAAAAGCTGAGATTTTATTAAGTTGGCTTGAAGAGGATGACTTCAGGCAGCATCCAGTGCTGTGTGTGCTCATAAAGCAGAGTGGAAGTACCACGTGCTGCCTGTAAGGTGAATCCCAAGCGCTTCTCTCCCTCCTTCTTCTCCCCAGGTGTACAAGGGACCAGAGACCTCCTTCCGCCTCACGAGCTTGCAGACAAACTGTGAATATCGGATCAGAGTCTGCGCTGGCCGGCAGTCCCAAGACTCTACTGGATCACAAGAACTGTATGGACCTTACAGTCCCAGTACAGTGTTCTCATCTCAGAAACAAGAGCTGGTTCCACCGTGTGCCGATGTGACCACGGAGCTGGCAGAGACGAAGAAGACGTTGCGTGAGGAGCGCTTCATTGCCATCGTCCTCCTCTGCGGGTTTGCCGTGGTCGCTATTCTATTTGCTGTTGTTATCCAGTACTTTGTCATCAAGTAGACGAGAGGATATTCCGTACTCAGCTTTTTGTACAGGAGCTATCTCGGGTATTTATGGTTAGTTCTAATTAAAGTCTTAGCTGGGAATGTATAGCTAACATTTCCACTTTTGCTGCTGGCTAACAGCGAGGCTGGGTTGGCAGATCCTTTCCAAATACTGAACACAGATTTCTTGCAGAAAGGGGTAATCCTGGGTCTTCTGTAATCAGGGTAATTAGCTGTTAATAAAACAGCAAAAAACCAACAAACCAACTGCCTTATCGTGCTCACCGGTATGTGAGCACACTCTTCCTCTCTCCACATTGAAAGCAAGGGGGGGGCCCTTTGGGCAGTTGGAGAGAGAAGGTGTTGATAGAACAAGTCCTTTTCGAGTCCAACTAGCAGCAGTGGTGGTAGATCCGCAGTGTTTAATCAGGTCTTGTAGTTTGATATACGTGCGATACAGCAGCACAGCCGCTTCCGCTTCGAGCAGTACCGCACCGCAGAACATTACTAGAGCATACCACATTTCATATCCTGTAGGAGGACAAGCAGAATATTGACTTTAACCATATTACTATTTCACAGTTATTTTAATATTTCGGATTCAATAATAATCATTTCAAAAGTGTTAAAAGTAGAGGGTGCCGGGGGTTTGGGGTTTGGTTTTAGGATTTTAATGCAGACGTTAGCGGGACGGGACGTGACGTGACGTGCGTCGGATGGACCCTGGCAGAACAAGCCCCTTTTTGTATGGTGCATTTCTGAGCGAAATGCTTTCTGCTGTCGGTGAGCAGCTCTTGGCCCAATCCACATTTCACTCTCAGTGCCTGAGAGAAAAGTAATTTCCTGTGCTCCTGATGAAATCTTCGCAGTGTTTTCAGAAAAGCACAGGTATTGTCTTTAAGGAGAAAGAGTGCATTTATGATAAATGTTACACTATTTGGCTCAAACTGAGCAAATGTTTTTTCTTTTTGTACTATTATTAACCTAAAAATAATAATAATAATAATAATTAAAAAAAAAAAGTTCAGACTGCTTTTTGGATGCCCTTCTGACTTAATCTGAAATATCAAATTGTACATGAAAGAACTCTCTTTTTTTTTTTAGATAACATTTATACAATGTTTTAAATGACTTGCTATCCCAGGGGTAGCAGCTTCACATTCCATAGTTTTCTAGATGGGAATGTTCAGCCTGCTATGAACTTTTCTGAAACTCATCCTGTTTGTCCAGGGTTAGGGGGGAGGTGGGTGGGGAGGGGGGGTGTGTTTTTTTGTGGACACTGTGCACTACATATTTAGCAGTTGTTGCTAAATCTGCTTGCAAATACCTAAAGGTGAATCTGACAGCTGCCTTCTTTATAGCAGTTATTTGGAAAGCTGGAACTCTCCGATTTCCAGCGTGTTTCAGAAATGGGTCTTCCCAACAGCTTTTGGAATATGCCACAGAAAGGTTGATTTAGGGTATTTTTTTTGCAAAGACTTACGGCTACACTTTATACACGTCAGAGCGACGCACTTGGACCTGGAATGTTGGATGTGATAGTGCTACAGGCAAAGTATTTCCAGTCATTAATCACGTTAAGGGTCTTTCTCCGATGGCAGTTGATGAATAGTGTTGCGTTATAGTTTGAGGCATTGTGTTGTATTTCAGATGTGGAAAACCTAAATTATGACATAGTTATCGCTTAATACTCTTTAAAAGTAGATTTATGGTGCAATCTGAAATTAATCTTTTTCCAAAATGTACTCTTCATTTTGTACTCTATTTATTTTGATTAAAAGTCCTGGAAAATGTATGTTTGAATGTATTGTTCTACTTGTAGCAGAACTTTAAGTTAATCATTTATTATATCATAGAAATCTCTCCCTCCAGTGTTGGAAAGAGTTTTATACAGATGTTAGTCTTTAGTTTGCAGAAGAGTTTACAATCTGTCTTTATTTCTCTTCATAGTCTACTTTTAGAAGATAAGACTGCCTTCAGCAAATCTCTATTGCCAAAGGGTTATTTCTTTTAACTCTTAAGAACGAACTTTGTAGAGGTTTATTTGGCAGTAATATTTCTGGTAATTTTAAAAAGATAATTGCAGAGTAAATACTAACAACTCGTGACTCCTAAAAAGTGAAAGTCCTTTTGTAATCGCCGCAAAATATTCACTTTTCCAGAAAATAACCCATGAAACCCTCCAGCAATACAGATTTTTACATCAGCTGTTATCCATTCCAGAACGATATACCTTAGTGGCATTAATGTATTAGATATCTTCAGTTTTCTTGTATTGTAATTTTTGAGGTATCTCAAACTTATGTTAAAGCTGCCATGCATTGTATTACTAAATTGTAACTATCAAATAGATAATATATTTAATACAGCCAATAAATAATACAAATGTATTCAGATTTGACTACAAGGGTGGTTGTGTGGTTTTGTGGATTTCAGTCTGGGGGGGGCAGATGTAATTTACGCTGAAGAAACAAGTTTAGTGTTGTTACCACGCGTCGTTGAGAGCTGCCTTCAGAATATGTCTGGAAGAAAAGTTATTCGTGGGAACTTGGGCACAACACTGTCCTCTTTTCCAAGAGCTGGGTCAGTTGGTGCCACTTCTTGAACCCTTTTCTGTGAGGACAGCCCATGAACTGATGATCTGAGCTCCCGTTTTACAAACAAGGGAGGTGGGCTGATGCCTTCTGCTCTTGCTTCCCTCCCCAGCCATCGCCCGGAGGTGTGATTTGTCCCTGATGTGTTCAGATGAGCTCTGAAGAGAAGGAGGGTTCCTCATGGTAGAGCTTTGCAGAGGTGGGGTCTGACTTTGCAGAAAGCTGGGTATAGTTTGAATAAAGAACAAGGTGTGTAAGACTGAAAATGAGGGAAGCAACTCCAGAGACCTGAGGGGGGAGGGATAAATCATCAGTGTGTAGGAAGAAGGCAATGTGATAAATCGGTCTGTAGGAAGAAAGCAATGTGTTCACAGTCCCACAAAATAAGGAATTTCTTATCACTTTCCTTTCAAGGATCCGATTCAATCCCTGATTGCATTTCTTACACTTGCTGAGAGCAAGCAGCTGGCCTGGCTTTAACCTCCACTTTCTCTCTTGGCTTCTGTTGGGATGAAAGTAACCTGAATTATGTTTCACAGGTCTGTGATTAACACAATACCGGGTCCTCAGAGACAAATCCTTTCTCAGGAGCTTTGTGGACAGTTCAGCCTGAGGTTGTGGCTGGTAAGTTCACTGAAGAGAGGAGCCTGGTTACCCCCAGGCCTGACCCTGTGTGCAGGAATGAGGTGAAGCCTTGCTAAAACGTTCTGAACTTACCTCAGGAAACACACAGTGGGCAAAAATACAGCCCTAAAACTTGTGCCAGTCTCCATGTGCAGGATCTACCCAGGTTTTAACCCACAACACTGCTGGCAGAATGCTTGGGTTGTGAGAATTAAGTCAAGGCTGGAACAGTCGACATGAAAGAACCTCTGTGCCTTCGAAAGAAACCTTGTCGCTCCTGGTCAGGCTCCTGCAGCGCCGAGTTCGCTGGTGGCGCAGGATTTTGCTCATGGCTTTCCTGTATTTGTGTGACATGAGGTTGTACAGGATGGGGTTTATAGAGGCCCCGAGGTAGAAGAGCAGCATGGCAACGAGGTTGAAGTACTGCGTGAGGTCGTACAGGACGATTTCTGGGCAAAGAGGATTCGGCCGATGTGGAACGGGAGCCAACACAGCACGAAGGCCAAGACTACGACTGCTAAAGAGGAAGAGAGCACATGTCAGTCATTGCAGGCAGAGTTTATTCTGCCTCTCTAAACTATTTAAGGACTGAGAGGTGAGCTTGCCAACTTTAACCCAGCAAAGACAAGGCCTCCTGCCTCGCCCAGCTGCTTTTGTGCTGTGGTTACTGGTCATCTCAAGCAACGAGGACTTAAGGTTGCACAGAAAATTAATTGTTTGCAGTTAAAATAGGGCTCTCTGCACCCATGTTGTCCAGTGGAGACAGAGGAATCCAATCAGGCTGGAGCAAAGCAGCCTGGACATAAATTATGGGCAACTGCCTGCTCATGGCCTTTGGCATCCTGCGGTGGGTACCAGAGGGGAAGGACCAGGGATGCGGGATGTGGGGGCTTCTCTGGGCAGCAGAGGGGTGGAAAATGGGAGCAAACTGGACCAGGAGGCACTGAGGAAGGGGATGGAAAAGCAGAGCACGCGATAAGGAAATAAAACGTGGCAGGGAACAGGCGGTGGATACCTGCAGAGCCTTTTACTGAAGGTATCTCCAGTCGTGGGTGCTGCTGCTTCCCTGCAGAGAAGGATTTCTGCTGGAGGGATTCCAGTTTCTTTAAATTGGAAATTTAAGGGTCAGAGATGGGGGGAGGAGGGGTGGACACAAGGAATGTGATCTCAAAACAACCAAAAGCCACACTGATCTGCTTCCCCGCTGCGCAGTAAGATCCCCAGCCTGAATATCATGCAGTCAGGGACTCTCCTTCTTACCAGAAAGAGGCAGGAACACAAATTTAAGTGTAAATCCATTGATTTTAAATCTGTGTAATCCTGTGTGTTTTATCCCTCCTCTCTACCATGCCCTGCATCCCCATACGGCCCGTGGGAGAGTGATTAAGGAGAACAGCTCTTCAGATTGGGTTTCTCAAATGGTCTTACCCAGCATTTTGACTGCCTGCGTGTGGGAGGTTTTCCTGCCCGCAGCCTGGCAGCCTCTGCCCCCCCCGCCACAGCTTTCTGCAGATGAGCCCGTACAGCAGAGTCAAGCAGAGCATTGGCAGGAAGAAATAAAGGGTGGAGATCCAGGTTATCATCTCTAGCAGCCCCGTGCGGGCCACGCGCTCGATGGACCTGCACTCCCGGCTCTCCTGGGACAGGCTGCCCTTGGGGTGTTCCACTCCGAAGAGGAAGAGGATGGGGCCGGTGGTCAGGAGGGAGCAGCCCCACAGCACCAAGATGACTCGTTTCACCCGGCACTTGGTGATGGTCGCTTTGGCTTTTAGAGGAAAGCAGATGGTGAAGTATCTCTCCACACTCACCGTGGTGATGTGCAGGATGGTGCAGTAGGTGCAGGTTTCACTCAGGTAAATGAAGAATTTGCAGAGAAAATCCCCAAATATGTAGGGTTTGTACTTCCACAGGCGGTAGAGATCCGAAGGCAGGCCAAGGAAAATCAGCGTGTCCGACAGCGCCATGCTGGACAGGTACATGTTCACTGTCGTCCTCATCTCCTGCGAGCGTCTGAAAATGACTATGGTTATCAAATTCCCAGAGACTCCCAAGAAAAACAGGATGATGGAAATTACAGTCACAGGCACCAAAATATGGACATCAAACAGAGAAAAAGACTGATCCTCCGAGGAGTCCGTGGCATTTCTGAAGTAGCTGTGATTCGAGATGGAGCCCATGTCTGGTTTCAAAGCCGAGGGCAGAGCTGGCTTCATCCTCCCCTATGACAGAAACCTGATTTGCAGCAAGAGCAAGGCGTGGTTTTTTGGGGTGAGTGTCCAAGCACCAATTCTTACGTGATCAGCTAAAAAATGTTCCAAACCATTTACCAGATGACACTAAATACCCAAGTGCCGATTAGTCCATTTTACAAGAAGAGAAGGAATATTGAGAGTCACACATCCAGCATTCGCCAGACACAGCCTTTTAAAACAATATTGATCATTATCAAACAATATTTACCTCGCTGATTTTCACCCTTAGCTTCGCAGTGTCTGGAAAAGGCCTGATTTTTACATTGCCTTTCAAGTCCTGTTGAATCCCACGAAGTGTGTAGAGCTGGGTCTGGCGACAGGGCTCTGGATCGCTGACGGAGGAGCTGCAAGGGGAGGCAGTCCCTGCACCAAGCTGGGTGGGAAGAGCCTCTCGGATGTGCTCAGCCGTTTGCCAGATCCTTCCAGCACTCGTGAGCACCACGAGTGGAAATCTTTAGGCTGAGAAGTTTTCTTGAGGCTCTGCTGAGGAGCAGGGAGGCTTGTTCGTGGTCACCACGCCTGGCAGACGCGGGATGCTTCACTTCTAGGACGGCTTTCCTGCCGTTGCTGACCCTGATGCTGTTTGTGCCGGGAGGTCCCCAGGCTGCTGGAGTTCCCTGACACGCAGCACAATTTCTGAGGCAATCAGCTGGGGCCACTGGACTTTTTGTGGCCGTTTCCCGTGCTGCCCATTCTGCCATCATCCATCTTCCTCCCTCCACCTACACACCGCTAACGGCGCTGCACTAAACACACACCCCCCCACTCTGCCTTTCTCCTCACCCTGCAGAAAGTGCCTGCAGTTACCAGGTAAGGTAGAACAGTTCTTTGATATTGGAAATTTAATTAGCCCATTTGGACTAGTTATATAATTTTCCATCATTCTGTGTTTACTCAGGGCCTTTCCCACTCCAGCTCCTCCCCAGCATATGCCGCCGAGGGAGAAATTTCTCCTGGCAGTGTTTTAATGCCATTATTAAGCTAGGATGGGAAAACCTTTATTTGAACATCACTCTTCCAAATGAGACAGTCTGACACTTAGCCCTGATTTACTTTCCATTTCAGAAAAGATCAGAGATGACGAGAGCGCCAGGGTGGGGGAGGCAAAGGGAAAAGGAGCTGGTGTGAGGGAAAATGCAAGGGAAGGGTGCGGGGAGCTGGAGGTTAACAGCTCACATCGGAGAGAGCGGGGACACTCAGCACCGGATGCTGCTCAGCTCAACAGCAGGATGTGTCCAGCTCCAGCTGCAGAAATTCCTCCATAACCCAGGAACTGGGGTGCTGGCAGAAGGGAGTGAGTTACCCAGTGTAAAATAAACCTCCTCCCTTCTCCTCCCAGCTCTGCTCTTTGCAGGTTTTGGGGTTGTTTTTTTTTGTCTGAAGGACTATTCAAAAGCCAGCATTTCCTAGGGCCAAATAGTGTGGGGTTTGGGCTCGAAAGGTCAGTGCTGAACACAGTCAGTGCTCTGTGCTGACAGATCCCTGCTTCTAACAGGAGGGAGATTGCTGCTGCCGTTTCCAAGAGGCAGAATCACTGACTCTGTGTGGTTTTGGGGGGTTTTTTCCCAAGAGATTTAGGCACCTGAACACCTCAAAAAAAGAAAAGCAGTCCGTGTGCCAAGGCTTTCGTTTACTGCATGTTAAACACCCCAACAAAACCCCTCTAAGAAGAAATTCCCAGTGCTTAACTCAGAGTTGGTGATTTAAACAGTGCACCCTGAGCAAAGCAAAGCCGTTGCCAGCGCACGGGCTGACCAGCGTGCGGCTGTCATCCCTATTTCTTGGAGCAGATCACTCCCAGCTGGGACACAGTTGCCTTTGATGAATGTCCCCACTTTGGCAGTGGCAGAATGAGGAGTCAGCGCTCGGCTTGGCCGTGCCGTGACCCAGTTTCCTGTTTTCCAGCACTGAAAGAAACCCCAGTGTCTGGGCAGCGATGAAGGGTGACTGCTCTTTCATTCGGCCGGCGCGCGGTGCCCGCAGCCCGCTGAACACACTGGCACTGGGGTGGAAGCTTTCACAGCCAGGCAGACCCACTCCAGCTCAGCTGCCCACAGGGAAAGCATTTGTGGCCTTGGGGACAAATGTCTTCCCTGTGGAAATTGGCTCTCTGTGTCTTCTCCTCACCGCTCGCTGGTTTCCAGGCAGAAATGCTGCAAGAAGCCGCAGCTCTTGGTCGTGCTGCTCAGCCTGGGAAGTCACCTCTGCGCAGGAGGGTTGGTGGGGAAGGTGGTCACAGCACAGACAGGAGATCTGGGGGGGTGGAAGGGTCTTTGCCTGCTCTTGGGGGTTAAACCAGAGCCTGTTGTCAGTGTGAAGTAGCTTTCTTTTTTTACTGCATCAGGAATAAATGTCGGTGACGGCAGACGGCTCAATGATGCCAAGTTTCAGCCTGATCCACAGCCTACATTCAGTCCGAGATGGAACAGCTCCCTTCCCCCTCTTCCCTGAAACTAGGGGAAAAAAAAGTGGGTTTTTGTTTGTTGTCTAAGGTCAGTGTCTGGAATTCATCCTCCATTCCCTCCTCGCAGGATGTTTTTGTGTAATATACTCTGACTCATGAAAGTCAAATGACTTGGACTGTAACGCCTCAGTGCTGCCAGCCAAAGAGGCTCAGCAGAGGCATCCTGGCCGCCGGCACCTCCAGCGCTGGCACGTGCTGAGCACGGATTTTCCAGCTCCCCCAGCTGCTGCCTCTGCCTCCCATCACGCCAAGCCTGGCACCCCCCCAAATCACCCACAAACCCACAGCGTGGGGGGTCAGCTGCCAGCTGCCATCTCAATTATCCAGAGGCCAAGAGAGGTTTGAACGTTGGATTGACACCCAGGTAGGCTGAGTGTACGGCTTCCAGGTGTTAAAGCTCATCCTGGTGTAGATGAGAAGCAGAGTCTCGCTGCTGCTGGGATGTTTTGCGGGGCGTTACAGGCATGAATCAGAAGGATCACAAATTAACAACTGTTTATTTCTTCTTGCTCTCAAAGGAAGTTGGCTTCTCCTCCCCGTTATGTCAGCTGGCCTGGTGAGGACATCACGTCTTCCTTCAGACCTGGCTTCGTTTGGAACCTTACAGCAAATGACGGCACCGTTGCAACTTCTTCTGGTATGCTGCTAATCCCCCTGATTGACAAAAATCACAAGAAGACAATTTTTTGGTTGTTGTTGTTGTTCTGTTTTGCCTCAGAAAGTAAAAGAGGAAAGTTTTTGACGAGACTTGCGTGGAATGTGTGTAGAGATCCTTCAGCTGCTAGGAAAACAAGCTTAAAAAGTCCTGCTGCCAATACTCCCGGTTTTCTTTAATCCAGGGAACGCTGACAATTTTAAAAGTGGCCATCGAAGCTGTTAATGAAGGAACATCCCCTTCTGCTTCACCGCTGGCCACACAGCTGGGGCTAAGACCATCCCCTGCAGGGGCCAGGGGACAATGCCCTGATCCCATCGCCCTTGCTCCCTGCCCTCATGTTATCCCTTTGTCTCCACAAAGATTTTTTTTTATTATTAAAAAGACTTTCCTCCTCACAGAAAATGTAGGTTTTAAAAACAAAAAGCGGGATGAAAGCTTTGTCTAAGCTGATAGCAAAAGAACATCCCCTTCTGCTTAAACCAGTGTGACACTGAAAGTCAGTTACGAGGCAGCTCAGCCTAGTCGAGTTTAGAGTCTAAAATAGATCCCAGGAGACTTGAGGTGTCGAGTCTTTGATAAGGCAGTGGTGTCAGAATAAACCGTTTTGTGGAGGCTGAAGTGTTGGAAACGAGCCAAGAGAGGAACTAAACATGGGCAGGAGAGAAATTCAACTGAAGGGCACGGTGAGAAAAGTTTCTCTGATCATCAGACAATCCCGAAGATGAGCAGTGCGCATGCGAAGGGGACATTTAAATGTGTCCTGGTGTGAGCTGGGCCAGAGCT